TTCTTCCCCTGAAGCCCTCGCTAGTCTTGGCCTTACCGCGCTTGGTGCTGCTAGCACGGCAAACATGGTACGCCGCCTTCGACGAGAGGACAAGATGGCGCCGGGCCCAGTGCTCGTAGTACTCGTCGAACGCCGCGATGTGCTTGCACTCGATGTCTCCCGAAGCTCGGGCCGCGGTGTTCCTGTTGGCGCAGACGCGCGCGATGGCGTAGCCCTGCTTCTTCTGTTTGTTGTCGACCGCCTGGTAGATCATCAACTGGCCCTCCACGACCGTGTCATCCGTGAAGTCCTGGAAGGCCTCCTGGTCCGCCGAGTCCTTTTCGAGCTTATCCCACCACTCAATCTTGGGCACGCGGCCACGCGTCCCCTCGCTGATGAGCTCCCCGACCATTTTCTCGTCCAGACTCTGCTGCTGGGCCTCCTCGACGAGCCCTTGCTCCTCCCTCGGCACCCTCGGCATCCTCGCCGAAAGCTCGACACCCCGATCTGATGTGCCCCCGACCGTCGGCGCCCTGCCGAGGTCCGGCACTCAGAAGATGAGCGCCAGAAGCGCCGTAGCAGCCGCGGCTCGCCCGGCCGCCGACTGCGCCCCGCTGCGGGCGCGCGCGGGCTCGCGAACCCCGCCTCGCCTCCACGCTGTCCGCTCGGGGACCTTCTGACCCGGGTCAATCCAGACCCGGGTCATTCAGGCCTTGCAAGATCCTGCAAGATCCTGCACCCAAGCCCGGGTCAATGCGAAGGATCCTGCAAGATCCTGCAGGGTCCTGCGCCCAGACCCGCCGGGTCAATGCGACCCTGGCCCTGCAGGATCCTGCAAGATCGGGCGCTCTGGCTGACCCTCGCTTGCATTGACCCCCGTCTCAAGGCTCCCGATCCGCGACGAGCCTCCCCGCACCTGGGGCCAGGCTTAAGTCGGGCCTGTCCCCCTACAGGGGGATTTTGGACGAAAAATTAAAAATACTCCAAACATATTCAGAAGATGACCTATATTTTTTACCTAACAGCGAAAACTGATAGGTTTCTAGTTGGGTCAGAAGAGAGCATCATGACTCCTCAGGGGGGTCGGGGCGGGACCCGGAGCGGGACCCGGCGCGGCTGCCGTCGAAGCCCAAATCGCCTGGGACATCCTCGCAAAATCGCTCTTGGCGCTGCTAGAACCGGAGCCAACTATAGGCCACTTCGTTCTCTTCGACTTCCCAGAACTCCATTCCCGGCGTACATTTTGGGTGCACGGAGCCAACTGTAGGCCACTTCGTGGTCTTCGAGTTCCCAGAACTCCATTCCCGGCGTACATTTTGGATGCCCGGAGCCAACTGTGGGCCACTTCGTGGTCTTCGAGTTTCCAGAACTCCATTCCCGGGCCACATTTTGGGTGCCCGGAGCCAACTGTAGGCCACTTCGTGGTCTTCGAGTTCCCAGAACTCAATTCCTGGGCATGACTTTGAATGCCCGGAGCCAACTGTAGGCCACCTCGTGTTCTTCTAGTTCCCAGAACTCCATTCCTGGGCCACATTTTGAATGCTGAGGCAGGCTGATGCTGCGGCCGAGGCAGGCTGAGGCTGAGGCAGGCTGAGGCTGAGGCCGAGGCTGAAGGCAGACTGAGGCTGAGGCTGAAGCAGACTGAGGCTGAGGCTGAGGCAGGCTGAGGCTGAGGCTGAGGCAGGCCAACTGTAGGCCACCTCGTGTTCTTCTAGTTCCCAGAACTCCATTCCTGGGCCACATTTTGAATGCTGAGGCAGGCTGATGCTGCGGCCGATGCAGGCTGAGGCTGAGGCAGGCTGAGGCTGAGGCCGAGGCTGAAGGCAGACTGAGGCTGAGGCTGAAGCAGGCTGAGGCTGAGGCTGAGGCAGGCTGAGGCTGAGGCAGGCTGAGGCTGAGGCTGAGGCAGGCTGAGGCTGAGGCTGTGACTGCGACTGCCGTTGCCACTGCGACTGTCATCGCGAATGCGACTACGACTGCGAGAACAGCAGAATTCTACAACTGGATTCTCATCTGAATCTTAAGGGGAACGCTTCCAGATATGTTCCTACGCATCGCTGTTAGGTTGCTTTGCCGGGATAATCACTATTTTTGAATATCCCTCCTGTAGAGGGACAGGTCCGACTTGAGGCCAGCGAGTCGCGAGGCGTGCGCGCGCGGAGGGGGGGCGCCGGTGAGCCGTGCCGTGGCCCCGGCGGAGCGTGCCGCCCGAGCCGCCGCTGCTGTGGCGGCGATGGCTTCTGAAGCCGCTCCGCTCGCACTGCATGGGGGAGGGAGACGAGGAGGAGGAGGCAGGAGCAGGAGGAGCAGGAGGAGGAGGAGGAGGAGGAGGAGGAGGAGGAGGATGTGGTGGTTGAGGAGGAGGAGGAGGATATCATGAATGACTGAATGACCCACGCGTGTTCGCAGCTTTCACTGCACAGCCGCACCGAAGTGCACAGACTCAATGAACACATGCAGCCGTGCACGTCGAGACGCACATGCACAGACGAGCCCGCGCACAGGCGCATGCTGTTTTTGCATTTCCCCGCGGGTCAAACCGTCCGCGGCAGTGACACGCACCCAGGCGGCGCCCCGCCCTTCCGCTTAGGGATCGAAGGCGGCCCGCTCGCTCTCCCCGTTCCTGCGCTGCGTGTCACGGGTCCGGCCAAGCTGGGGAAACCGAGAGATACCAATACCGCCACTCCCCAGGCCTCTCCTGGGGTGCGTTCTGGCCAGAATCTCGAGGCGCATCCAGCCGTGGCGACGAGGGCCTCGCGGCATGAACATAAACTTTCGGAGCTCCGCGCGGATTTCTTGGAGCTGCGCTGGATCCCCCTCCCTGGCGCGCGGAGCGCGCCAGGGGCGGCGCCGCAGTCGCCGCCAGGGGGCTCTAGCGCCGATCTAAGAAATCCGCGCGGAGGTCCGACAACTTATGTCTATGCTGCTGCTGCCTCTTCTTATTACTCGTATTATTATTATTCTTCTCTTCATCAATCATCGGTACCTCTTCCTTCTCTGACAGTTGGCGGCGCGCACAGGGTGGTATGGGGGAGGGGGAAGGCGTCTTAGAAGCACCCCTATTTCTTAGAAAGCGCCAGCCTCACATCTATAGATGTTGCCCGCGCCTTCTAAGAAGCAGTTCGCTTCCAAGAAGCCTCCCCCCTTTCCCCCTACCCCCCCGTCCGCGTGGCCGAGACAGGCGGGCGCGCCGCCCTGCGACGCCTCAGTTCGCCTTGCCAGGAGACCCCGCGGACGGGGCCGCCGCGGCCGCTGCCTGGCCGGAGGCCTGCCGGCTAAGGTCCTGCTCGTCCTCGCGCGCCTCGCGCTCCTAAAGGGACCCAAGGAGGCGCAAATAGACACGGACTCCAGGATTCCCTCAATGCTTCCACATTTCCGGTTGTTTTGTCTTCCCCCAACCTCCCATAGTTTCCCATGGTTTCCTGGAAATCTACGTTTGTGTGTGTTCGTCCGTTTTTCTCCCCTGAGCTCCTGCCTCTTCGTCTCCCGGTCCACGGACTCCATCATCAGCCGCCGCAGAGCCCGCGACTGCTGCACGGCGCTGCACTTCTTGTTTGCTGGGACCTGCAGGAAGCAACTGCTGGGAGGTCTTCGCGAGCACGATGGAAGGTCATTGTGCCAAATTTGAAAGCCATTGAGCAGGAGTAGCGCCCGGGATTCAGCCGGAACAGGCGGGATCAAACGGACTTGACCGGGATTGTGACAGATCAGACCGGTTTTCGACCACGGATATACCAGCGCCGATGCTGCCCCAAACCTCCTAGGAGTTGCATCCTCCTGAGGACCTGATTCACGCCGTAGAAGCTGAAGAGGTCGCTCACTTCCCGCCGCTTCTCCAGCGCCTGCTGCGAAGGCTTCCACTCCTCCTGCTTCCAAGACTCCGTCCGCTGCTCGGCCCTCTTCATCGAGCTCACGCCCGCGCTGGAAAAGTACATGCGGTTCTCGTAGAGGCGGTCGGGGATCGTCTCGATCGCCTTCATCTCGACCTGCTTGAACCTGCGGGCGTGCAACTTCAGGCTGTTCTGGAGGTCCCGCTGGCCCTCGTCGGTCGCGAGCTTGCGCTGCTTCAGCGTCATGCTGTTTAGATCCACCACGTTGCGCCTCCAGTCCTGAGGGGCGACGTCACGGGAGAGGGGCCAGCTCAGGGGGGAAGCATCGAGCGTGAATCCCAAATATAATCGCCGATCGATGGGCCGTGGGCCCCCGATGGCGTGTCCGCACGGTCCTGAGCGGGGCGGGCCAGAAGGCCCCCTGCCGGCGACGCATGGGCGACTGGTCGGTGCACCCCCCCCGCGAGCCCGTGAGCCTGCCCCCCCCCCCCCCCGACCGCTGCCGCGGCTGACGTCCTCGAAGGGGTCGAGGCTCTCCTCCCCGCTGCGGGGCAGAGGCCCCTCGAACGGCCGCGCGGGGCGCCGCGAGCGCCGCCTGCCGGCGGCCAGCTCCGGGCTGGTGCTCCGCCGAGACATCCTCGAGAGCCTCCGGCCGCCGGGGCCTTGGGGCGACAGGGGCTGCGGCAGCGCGGGCAGCGCCGGCGACGACGCCGACCGCCGCGAGCCGCTGCTGGACCCAGGCGCCGGGCCGCCGTCGGCGCCGCTCGGCCCCGGGCCACTGCGGGGAGGCGGCGCCCCCGCGCCCCAGGGAGGCCGCTTCGGCGGGGGCGGCGCCCTGCCAGCACGCCGGTCCACCATCATGCCTTCGGGCGCGGAGGTCCGTGACACAGCTGCGGCCGCAGGCCTGGGGCCCATCCTGGGCCGCTCCTCTCAGCGCAAGAGGGGCCCCGGGCAAGAGTGGCCTGGTTGGTGCGCGGCTTCAGGGGGCCGCGGGTAGGCCAGATCCAAGCGCGCAGGCCAGTGCAGGAGGTGCCTCTGTGAGCCCGCACTTAAGGTCACTCCCGCGAAGTGCCACTCCTATATACGCCGAGCCGACTCGGCCAGGCCAGGAGGGCGCATGTGCACCGCTCCAGGGCCCGGGGTGGGCCAGGCCTGGGGCAGCGGACGTGTGCAGATCCCGCCCCCCTGTGCCTGGCGGCGGCGCCGAAGGCAGGGCCGCAGCCGGCGGGCTCGGCATCCCGCTGGCGGGCGCCTCGGCCGCCGGCGTGCCGGCGCTGGAGGCCCGCGCAGAGCCGAAGGACGCCGAGAGCGCCAGCGACGCAGGTGCCGCGCTGGATCTGCGAGAGCGCCCGGGGTTCGCGGCGGCCTCCCGCCGCAGCTCCGCCTCCCGGTGCGCCTGGGCTGCTCGCTGGCGCACGGGGTGGCCCTCGGGGAGCAGCTGCTCCGCCAGCAGTGCGGCCTCCAGGTGCAGCCCGTCTGTCTCGTCGTCGGCCTCCAGGCCTGCCGCTGGCCGCTGGTACTCGAGCTCGAGCGCCAGGCACTGCCTCGACTGTATCGCCACCTGAGGGGAGCGAAAGATGCCCCCCCACCCCTGGCCTGAGAGGCAACGTGAGGGGGAGAACAGCTCATGAGGGGAAGCATCGACCTGGAATCGGCTATACATCGCCGATTGGTCGGCGACGGGATATGGAATCCGCACGCTCCTGGGCGCGGTGGGCTATGAGGCCCCCTGCCAGCGATGAATGGGCGATTGGGGGTCGATGCATCCCCTCCTGCGCCTGTCCCCCCGTATGTAACGTTGCCCTTTATGGCCCCCCTACCCAGAGGGGGCCGGATGGGGGTGGTATATTCTTTGTGCCCTTTTCGCGGAGCACTCTCACCGGGTGTTACCCGAAGTGCCATTGGTCCAAAGTGCCCCCAGGATTTCCGAGGTGGCCCCCGCGGCCTCCAGAGCACCCTCACGAGGCCCAGACGGCCCTAGGGGCTCCAAAATTGAGCGAAAAGCTGGGGGTTTACCCTGGGCCAGGGGAACCTTCGGCAACCCCCGGCCTCGGTCGGGAGCCGGAGCTCTCTGGCCCGGCGGGGTAAGGTGGGGGTGGAGGCTCGCCCTCTTTCCCCAAGGCCTCCACGAGCATGCTCAGCCAAGGTGGCGGCTTGCGCAGCAGCGCCTTCAGCTGCTCCGGCGCCCCAGCAGCCCCGAGCGGACCGACCTCCCACCAGGCCGAGACGGCAGCGTCCTCTGCGGCCGATGCTTCCTGTAGAACGCGCCAGACCTCGTCCGTCTCGGCGCGCGCTCGGCGTGCCTCCTCCGCCGCGTCCCCGTGGGAGCCCATGCCCGACAGCACCACGCAGTGCTGCAGGTGGATCAGCGCGAGGGCCGCGTGGGCCACGGGGCGCGGCGGCTCCCCGGGGGGAGCGCGTGCGTAGCCCGCCGCCACCCCCGCGGCCCGCCGGAGGATGCCTATGGCCCGCTTGTGCTCGCCCGTTCTGAGCTTGGCCGCGGCAAGCCCAACCTGGTGCTCCACGAGGGCGACCAGAGATCCGTCCTGATCCTGCCCCGACTCCAGGACGGGCTTGTACCAGTACTCCCTATCGGGGCGCATGTCGTATGTCGCCAGGCTGGGCTTCAGGGTCCAATCGGCCACCATCGCTTCTGGCGGGAGCGCGCCCACTAGAGCACAAGACACCAATCCATCCGGAGCCCACAAACTTGAGCCAAGGCGAATTGTGCAGGCTTGAGCCAACTCGAGCCAACAAGTGGATGAATTATCAGTGCGTGTGGCTGACACCCCAAAGAAGCAGCATAAACAGTTGCCACAAAACACCTGGTCCTCCTTTAGCGCCGCGATCGAAGAGAGCGGTAGCGGAAGTGGGTACACAAACGAACTCATACATACAATAGCCCCAGCCCCCACAGCTGCGCATAAGAGTGAGGGAACCAGGGAAGGTCGTCGGCAACTTGCGAGGCTCGAGAGCACATGTGAGAAAGCCAGCGAAATCTCAGCATCCGGGCCAAACACCACAGCCCGCGGGCCTGGAATCGTATCCCCTGTTCCCCTCTCGGCGCCACCACCACGGCTCGGGGGACCTCGCACCACCCTGCGAGGCAGACTGCAAGAGAATCCCTGGGCTGAAAGCCTACCTAAGGAATGCACCTATGCGCGCAGACCCACGGGCGTCCCCCCTGGCGTCCTTGATCGTCTCCCGCGAAAGCGTCAGGTGCATGAAACCGTACTGGTCGTCGCCATCCATGTTGGGCACAAAGTCGGACGTCACTCCACCGCCGCCGCCGGACACGAGCCTGCTGCAACCCCGGAGGCGAGGCATGCCGAGGTGAGGGGAGGGAGGAGGAGGAGTTCAAGTAGGTCAGTAGAAGTTGGGGCAATTAGGATGAGAAAGAAGAAATGGAAATGGAGCGACCCCGTGCGAGAGCAGTCCCGCCAGCAAAACTGACGTCGAATAACTCAGAACGACTGCGCTTTCAAGGCGGTGTGCTTGAAAACACGGTCTCTGAAACTCAGCGAGTTCCCTCTGGGCCAGCTTGGCTTGGGACAAGAAGCCAGCAAAGCACGAAGCTCCACGTTCCGTTTACTAGGCGTTGGAATCGAAGGCGCGGTCAATGAAGCTCGGCAGCTTCCCATCTAGCCTGTCGAAATCCCCGTTTGGAGCGCTGTACACGACGATGCCGTCGCCGAACCCGGGCGCGTTCCCACACTGAGGTGGGGGCGTCGAATGATTAGTCACCCCAGTCTGGTGCTGACGCACGGAGTGGTGGCCACAGAGACTCCTCGAAATGCCCTCCAGGCCGTCGCGGTCCCCCAGGTCGGTGCGTGGGGCTCGAAGGCGCGGTCGCCAGAGGCTAGCAGGCTCTTCGCGCATCGCGCCCAACGTTGCGCGACGCGCGATCATCTTCGCGCCCCCGCGCCGCCGCGCCGCCCCCCCCACCGGAGAAGGGCAGCTGCTCTGGCCCAGGCCGCGACGCGCGAAACGCGATTCGCACCCCCGCGGGTGACCCGGAGGTTCCATTCGAGGCCAGGGCCGCGGCGCACCTTCGTACGCGGGGGAATGTCCAGGCCAGAGTGCTCCATTGGGGGTCCTCTTGGGTGCTCAAGGGACCTCCTGACTTGCATTTAGCATGTCGTATTGCGTCATCTGGGAGAACGAACACGCAGAGCTTACACGCACAACGTGACGCTTACGCGAGTCGCTACACATGCATATTCAAAGCACAGAAGTGCACGACAACAAATGTCACTTGCATCACTGTGTTTCCTCCGTTTGGACCGCCCGTTGTCCAGAACCATGCGTCTTCCACGTTTGGACCCCCCGCTGTCCGACGCCGTGTTTTCTCAGTTTGAACCGCGCACTGGTGCTCGGAGGGAAATCAATGCGCGTTGTTTTCCCCGTCTGGACCGCCCGCTGCCCGAATGTAGCGTTCTCCCTGCGTGGACGACCATCGGTGCTCGGAGGGAAATCAATGCGCGTTATCCCATCAGGCTCTCTTGGGATCCTCTTCGGGCGTCTGGTTGGCATTCAATATTGCGTTATCTTGGAATGCTAGCGAGGAGGTTACGTGGAGTTTACGCGAGCTTATGTGGAGCTTTTGACGATGACGATGATCATGTTGGCGATGATGGTGATGATGGCGATGATTGTGATGATGATGGTGATGATCATGGTGATGTAGATACTGATGATGGTGATGGTGATGATGATGATGCTGATGAGGATGGTGATGATGGTGATTCGACTGATGATGATGGTGATGATATCGATGCTGAATCAGATGGCGACGATGATGATAATGCTGATGATTACTATGCTGACGATGGTTGTGATGGTGGTGGTAATGATTATGATGACGATGACTATGACGACGATGACGAGGAAGACGACGATGAGGGTGCTGGTGATAATGATAACGATGACGACGATGGCTGTGTTGATAATAATGATGATCATGATTGTGATGATTATGGTGGTGGTGATGATGGTGGTGATGATGATGATCATGGTGATGATGATGCTGATGATGATGATGACAATGATGATGATGATGGTGGTGGTGATGATGATGCTGGTGATGATGATGATGATGCTGGTGATGATGATGATGCTGGTGATGATGATGATGATGATGATGATGATGATGATGATGATGATGATGATGATGATGATGATGATGATTACGGTTTTTGTTCCTCTGGCGCAGCGCAGGCAGACTTGAAACGCGGCCAGGACCGGCCCCTCAAGTGGCCAACTTCACGGTCTTTAAAGCGATACCGGAAGCCTCGCCCCGCTCAGAGCCTGCTGGCTTGCGGCCCTGCCCACCTCGCGATCTCCGTGGCGACCCTGACGGGGTCCTCCACCGGAGCCTCGTGGCCCATGCCTGTCAGCTCGACGCAGGTCACAGAGCCGCCACCAGGCCAGGAGAGCACCTCCTTCGCGTGCAGGAACTCCACGACGATGTCGTGGGTGCCCCAGAAGAGGCCCACCTTGGGACTCGCGGCATCCCTGCTGGCGATCAGCGACTGGAAGGTCGGCAAGAGGCCCGCCAGAATGTCGCTGCGCAAGATGCCCAACGTGAGGCCTGCAATGGCATCGACGATCTGAGGGTGCAGGTCGAACATTCTCTTGATGTCGGCCTTGGCTGTCGCGTACTTTTCAGGGTAGAAATACTTAGCCCCCTCGTGCGCAAACGCGTTATCGCAGTTCTCCAAATAGGCGTTCTGCACCAGCGGGAGGGCCTTGACACTCAGCAGGACGCGCGCCAGCGAGGGCACCTTGTCCAATACCTTCACCAAGAACGGAGTCACCTTCCAGAACGCTGGCGAGATCAAAGCCAAGCGCTCCAAACGCCTGCCCCCGGGCAGCGCCGGCAATGAGACCGCCGCCTGCACCCCGAGGAGGCCCCCCGTGGAGTGACCCACGAAGAGGTCGACCGGCTCCCCGGGGGCCAGCAGGTGGTCCAGCAGCTCCTGCAGCTGCGTCAGCAGCATATCGAGGTCGAACTGCGCGCCTGGGCCCGCGTGCGACCAGCCGTGGCCGCAGAAGTCGTACCTCAGCACGCGGAAGCCACCCCTCAGCAGCGGCTCCACGAACCCAGCATACACCTTGGAACTGGTGCCAAGGCCGTGCGACAGCACAGCAACGCGCCGGCGCGGCCCCTCGGGATGCCAGGGCCCGTCCAGCACGTAATGGCTGAAACCATCTCTGCCCTTCAAGAACTTGCCGGAGGGCTTGCCGTAGAGCTGCCTCAGCTTCGCAGCGTCATCCGCCGGCAGCTCCTCCACAGTCGAGCCCTCGGGCGGCATCCCGCCTGCTGCCGCGGTGGGGCCCGCGCCAGCAGCCGCGGCGAGGCCCTCTGCTGCCGTCGCCCAGCACTGGCCGAGGCCGCAGGGCAGGTTCAGCTGCAGGTGCCGCTGGAGAGACACAACCCGTGCCAATTGCAAGCAGACGACTGCCACCGCGCAGCCGCGCGCTCCGATGCGCGCCGGTCGCTGTGGTCGGGGCCTGCGCAACATAGGCCTTGAGCCATGATGATGATGATTACGATTACGAGCTGGGGCAATCGAGACGGCCCAAGAAACACCCAAGACAACAGCTTACGCGAGCTTACGCGGAGCTTACGCAAGCTTCCGCGGGCGTGTTAGGCCCCTATAGGCCCCTGGGCCCGCAGATGACACCCCCTCAAACCCCTCCAAATGCATTTCTCCCGATTATGGATCGCACTGTACGCGCGCTTTTCGTCATGCTCGTCTGTTGTCCCTGTCGGCACGCGTCCCTCAAAACGATGTCCCGTCTGAAATTGCTTTCTGGTGGTCCTTTCAACCTCCAGACGGCCGAGATGGCCTTCAAGACGGGTTCCAAGACAGCCAAGACGACAACACAACGGCTCAAGATTACCTAAGATAGCCCAAGCTTCTCAAGCCAGCCTCACGACGGCCCAAGAGGCCCCCAAGAGGGCCTCAAGCCGGCCCAGGAGGCCCCGAAGACGGCCCAAGAAAGCTCCAAGGGGCCTTCCTGGAGAGCCCGGGGGGGGGCCAAAACCATTGATTTCCCTTGGACTTTTGAAGGATTGTGAGGTTCTCGCCTGTTCGGGTTCCCGACCGCCCAAGACGGCCCAAGAGGTCTCCAAGAGGCCTCCAAGACAGCTCAAAGAGGCCCACAAGAGGGCCCCAAGTCGGGCCAAGAGGATCCAAATATTGCCCAAGAGGCTCCCAAGAGGGCCCCAAGACGGCATTGCGCTCCACGGGAGCAACAAGACGGCCCAGAGATGCTTCTTGGGATGTCATGGGCGGTCGTGAACCCAAACATGCCAGAACCTCAAAATCATTCAAACACCTTAGGATAGTCTATGGTTTTGGCCTCCTCGGGCTCATATTGATCTGCCGTGAGGCCTTCTTGGGAGCCCCATGGCCTCCAGGACGGCTTTCAAGGCAGCCAAGGTGACACCAAGATGGCCCAAGATAGGACAAGAAGGTCCCGAGAAGGTCTCAAAACAAAACAAGAAGCCCTCACGACGTCCTAAGAGGGATCCAAGAGGCCCTCCTGGAGAGCCCGAGGAAGCCAACACCATTTGGTTTCCTGCGGTGTTTGGAAGATTGTGAGGTTCGGGTTTTCGACAGAGCAACCTCCAAGAGGCCTCCAAGATAGCTCCCAGACAGCCCAAAATACACCCAAGAGGGCCTCAACTCTGCCCAAAAAGGTCCAAAGATCGCCCAAATGGCTCCCGAGAGGGCCCCAAGACGGCCGTGAACTGCTCCAAGAGGGCACCAACACTGCCTTTTTTTTCCAGCGCGATATTTTGGAGGAGAAGGAGGAAAGCAGAGGGGACGAAGGCGGACAGACAAGCCAAGATCGCGAGCAAATGCAATGAACTGGCCAGTGCACGCCTGGTCGAGAAGGCAAGTTAAACTCACTCGCAGAGGTCAGAAACTCTAGAGTCCAGACCACAGTGGGCCAGCGCCTCGCAAAATGCAACACTACCAAACCCGATGGGCTCTGTCTGAAACCCCTGGCATAAGCGAGTACACAAACCCAAAGGGAGAAGAGTAGACATAATACCGGCTGATGGTGGATGAAATTCCAAAGCGATTGCGGGAGACTCAGGTCCTTCTCAGGGCAGAGGACCAATCATCAAGCTCCACAGCCATTCAATTACAGGACCGTCCCAATGGAATAGAACTGGCAAGGCAGAGAGTTGCATCCCGATGGCAACTAGAAGATAGCGGATGAAGATAAAAAGAAAAGCTGTCGGCAGACAGGCGCGAGCCAGCCCAACAGCTGCAGGATGCCCACACGGCCATGCCATATGGTGGCGGCAAGCCAGCTAAGGCAGCGCGAGCTAGCAGCGGCTCCCTGGAGAGAGCGGCCAACGAGACCGGGCGGCACATCAGTGGCCCACCCCCACGTGCAGCCGGCGCAAGCGCCAATTGTACCCACTGGGAGTGGCCATCCCGGCGCACTCCGTGCCACGACCCCGGGAGAGGAGGGGGGAGAGAGAGGCGAGGAGCGGGGGAGGGCATGCCGAGCACGTAGTCTATCGGCCACGCGGCCGGGACAAAGCCGACTGGGCGACTGGGCCTCAGAACAGCGCATCTCCTGACGTGAGTCTGGGAAACGCGGACGCTGCCGAACAGAACAACCCCCCTCCACCAGAAATTTGACTTGAAAACTGCGGTGAGAAGAACCTCAACCAACAACAGAACGGCGAGCGTTCGCCCACTCGTCCGGCGGCGGGGTGGTGCCAGCGGGGCCAGACCGCCGCCCTGCCAGGACGTGATGCCATTCGTGTGCCGGCGGGAGGGGAGGACGAAGGACGGAGGACGGAGAGGAGAGGAGAGGAGGGGTCAGCCTCGCCGAGCCTCATGGCTCAGGCACGCGCGGCGCTCCATCCATCCGGCCTGGACGCACTGGCCGGAGATTCAAACGAGGAGGGGAGGAGGGGGGGAAGGAGGACGGAGGACAGAGAGGAGAGGAGGGGTCTGCCGCGCCGAGCCTCGTGGCTCAGGCACTCGCGGCACACCATCCAGCTGGCCTGGACGCGCTGGCCGGAGATTCAAACGAGGAGGGGAGGAGGGAGGGAAGGAGGACGGAGGACGGAGGAGAGGAGAGGAGGGGATCTGCCTCGCCGAGCCTCGTGGCTCATGCACGCGCGGTGCTCCATCCAGCCGGCCTGGACGCACTGGCCGGAGATTCAAACGAGGAGGGGAGGAGGGAGGGAAGGAGGACGGAGGACGGAGGACGGAGAGGAGAGGAGGGGTCTGCCTCGCCGAGCCTCGTGGCTCATGCACGCGCGGCGCTCCATCCAGCAGGCACGCACTGGCCGGAGAGTCAAACGAGGGGGGAGGGAGAGAAGGAAGGACGGAGGAAGGGAAGGGGACGGAGGGGAAGGGGATTACGATCCTCCAGCGAGCTCTCGAAGCTTGAGCCTGAGCGCACTGCGGCACGCGAGTGCCCCGCTGGAGGCTGCGTGGCGGGCCCAGCAGTGCGTGAGATACACGCCGCACGTTGCCAGAGCTCGGCGGCGCAGCTCCGGCGCGGTCGCCTCGGAGCACGGCGGGGCCATCAACATGAAACCTGGCAGTCGCAATTCTGGGGCATCCAGACGCGCGAGCCCCAGCTCGCGGTACACGGCTGCGGACACATGCGGGCAGTCTGCATAATGCTCGATAGAATCATCCCCCGCAGTGCATCCAAAAAAAACAACTGGCGCGCCTCTGGAACCGGCGGCCCGTGGCCCAGCCGTTCCACAGGGTCCTGATGCAGGCAGCCAGCGCCCGCGGGGGGCACAGCCGAGCCACCGCGGGGAAAGCGGACATGACGCGGTCCAGCATGACGTCCTCTGGGAGGCCGCACGCCCACCTCGAGAGCCGCACGCGCAGGAACGCACGCAGCTCGAGAGAGCGGTCAGGGGCGATCAAGCGCACGCAGGCGCGCTGCCAAAGCCGGCGTATACGACCCGCGTTCCCGGCTCTGGTCTCTAAGGCGATGCGCGCGGGCGTCAGCCCGCGTCCTTCGAAATGTTGTCTGGCGGCGTCCAGCTGGAGAAGGAACGCCTGCTTGTACCAGGGTGCCCATGTGCCCAAGCGCTCGAGCGACTGCGTGGCGTAGAGCCGCACGTGGCGGAGTCTCGCGGCCCGTTCTGCGACCCGGAGGCCGCCTTCCGACGCCGCCTCCCACTGGCAGACCCTGTACTTCGCCGCGAGAGATACTGCGTGCAGGTCCGGGACTGAAGCGGGGAAGCCCAGTAGCGGCAGACCGTGAACGGCAGCCGGCGGCGCCCGCCGGCAGGGGCCAGGGTACAGCGACTGCATCGCCTCGGCCTCAAGTTTCGCCCACCACGACGGCGGTGCATCCAGTTGCGCCAGGAAGCCCAGCGTGGAGAACGCATACACCGAGTAGGCTAACGTGTTGGCGCACATCCCGCCTCCAGAGTGGCCCCATTCCTGCGCGCGCGCCTTGAACTTCGCGCACGCTGGTTCCCACCCGTGCTCTGCGCGTGCCGGCCCCAACACGAAACCCAAGTACTTGGCCCTGTGAGCGAACCGGATCCCGCCCCAGGAAGGCGCTCGCGCCGTGACATCCTGCCGCGCGCTCTCGGGGTCCCCCGTCCGGAGCGGCACCCAGTAGGTCTTGCCGATATTCAATCGCAGACCCGAGATGGCGGCGTAAGCGTCGAAGAGCGTCTCGAGCGTGCCAGCCGCGGCAGCGCCCTGCGGGAGGACCATCGCCAGGTCGTCCGCGTAAGCGCGCCGAAGTGCCCGCGGAAGCGCCCGGCCGAGGCGCCGCAGGAGCAAGTCGGCGGCCACCGCGAAGAGTAACGGAGATAGCGGGCACCCCTGCCTGATTCCGGCGGTGACAGGGAAGCCCTCGTGCGTGCTTCCCCCGACCACCAGCTGGCACCTGTTGTTGCAGTACAGCGCTCCCATGTAGTTCAGCACCGCGTCGGGGAGGCCCGAATCTGCGAGAACCTCTAAGAGGAAGTCCTGTCCGACGCTGGGAAACGCCGCAGCGAAGTCGAAGAAGACTGCGGCGCCGTCTGGTTCCGTCAGCGCGGTGATCTGCATCGCCTCATCCACGTCTACCACGTTGGCGAGCAGGGAGCGGCCGCCGATGAACCCGCGCTGCTCTGGCGAGACGACCTGGGCGAGGAGGGGCTCGAGGCGGCGGCGCACAGCTCCAGCCAGCAGCCGGTTGTCCGTATTGACGAGGCTCAGAGGGCGAGTGTCGCCCGGCGCGTAGTGCGGCGTCCCGTCGGCCCCCGCGCCTGTCGCCGCTTTCGGCAGGAAGACCATCAGGCTGTCGTTGTAGCTCGGGAGGTCCCGCACGATGGCCTCGTTTGCCCCCGGGCTGCAGAGCTGGCCGTAGGCGCTGTGCAGGACGTCCGCAGCCAGGGGGCCGAGTCGCTTCCACGCTGCGAACGGTAGCCCGTCTGGGCCAGGCGCGGTCGACGGCGCGGAGTCCAGCGCTTCCTGCACGTCGCTCAATTGGAGGCGCCATCGCGGGTCCTCGACCGGCGGAGGCGACGGGCCTCCGCGCTCCGCCCGGGCGCGCCGCTCGTCGAGCAGCCACTGCCGGCGGAGACGTGTGTCCAGGGGTCGCGCGCGGAAGGTCGTTCTCCAGTGATCCCTCAGAGCGTCTGCCATTGCTGCAGGGCTCGTGACCACCTCGCCCGCGCGATTCAGCACGGCGGCAAGGGACCGGCAGCGCCCAGGCGCCAACCTCGCCAGCAGCTGCCAGTTCCGACTGCGTCGTACGGCTGCTTGGTGGGCGTCCAAAGTTGGCAAGTCCGCCCGGAGCCGGCGCAGCTCTTCCAACGCGTGCTCGCGAGCCAGCTCCATTGCATGATCCCGAACCGCCTGCAGGCGGCCTGCCGCGCGCAGCTGAGGCGAGTAGGGGTTGTTTACCAGCTGGGCCAAATGTGGGTATCGCTCCAGGCAGCGACTGATGCGCCCCAAATGGCCGCCCTCGGCAGCCCGCAGAAATTGCATCGTGACCCCAACCCGGTCTTCTGTAGCCTCGGCCGGGTGCCCGTGCGCCATCTGCCTGGCCAGTGCCGCTGCGACTGCCTTCATCGCTTCCTTGAGCAAGGCCAGACGGCGAAGAGGCGAAGCTTCGGGCTCAGCCGCCGCGCGCTCCTGGAACGCAAGTGTGACGCGGTAAGCCCAGTCTGCATGCTGGATTATCTCCGGCGCGATGGGCCTGTCGGCCGCCGCGGCGCGAGAGGGCAGCCTGCGACCTGCGGCCGCGGCTCGGTGGTGCGATAGCCCCGGGACCCATTCCAGTGCGACCGCATAAATGTCTCGATCGAGCTGCTCCGCCGCCTCCTGGTTCCAGTAGATCCTGTCGAGCCGCGACGTCGCGGTGCCGCTGCGGTGCGTCTGCGCGGGCTGGTGGAGCTCATGTAACGAGAATGGCTGGAGCGCTGTCTGCTGCCAGTGGCGTTCCTCGGCACGATCGCGCCTTCCAGAGTGGCGCCCTGAGCGTAGAGTCACCCGGTCAGCGTCCTCCACGACCCAATTGAAGTCGCCGGCGATGACCGTGAGCGCGCTCACCTTGGGGCGGAGCGCTCGCGCCACTCGGAGCCGAAGGGCGGCCCGTTGGCCTGGGAGGGAAGGTTCCGATGGTGGTTGGGCCGTCGCTGGCTCCTGCAGCGCCTGGGCGGAGCCCGTCGGGAAGTACACGACAATCATATCCAAGGACCCCTGAGGGCCGCCCAGGCGGAGCGCTGCTGCGCGGCCGGCTTCAATCTCAATCCAATCACGCTCTGGGAACTGATTGAGAAAACGGTTTTGCACGATGATCCCGACGCCTGCCCGGGCAGCGGTCCCGTGAGACCACCACGTGCTGCAGTCCCGCGGGCCGCACCATGCCTCTGCTGCCCCTGGCATGCTGTGCGTTTCCGTCACAAGTACGGCATCGTAAGATCTCCACGTGCCGCGTCTTGGCACGGAGCCGGCCCGGGTCCGCAGCGAACAAGGCCTGCGCGTTCCATGTGGCCAGCGACAGTGCGCCCCTGAACTGTCCCCCAACAAGGGGCGCTGCTGCGGCGCTCGGTGGGGGCGGCGGCGGCGGCTGCGGCGGCAGCCACGGCGCGGGGGCTGCGGGTGCCGCAGGCGGCATCGCCCCTATTGCACGACGTAGCCGAGCCCGGACCCGCAGAGAGTGAGGAATATCTTCATGTTGATGCCCATGCCCATCCCGAGGATCACAAAAATCATGATGAGGAAGAGGGGGGAGAGGAGGTAGAATACGTCCTTGATCGTCCGATCTGCCCCGGCCCGGCTCCGCAGCGTGCGCCTGCAGCAGGAAGACGACGTCGATCATGAACAACTTGCAGCCCAAACGAGTGATCGCTTGAATTACCGTGCCGCTGTCCCCATCGGCAGCGGCAGCAGGGTCCCGAGCTAGATGCGCGCGGAGGCGGGCGGCTGGGTCGCCCTCCCCCGCCGCCCGTTTCCCGACAGCTCACTTGCATCATTCACCACCCGCACCGCCAGCCTGTCCATGCCCACCTGGAGGGATCGTCCGTGCAGGGCCTGGCGGACGTCTCGCACCTCGGCTTCGGAGGCGAGATACAATCGTAGCCGTCCAGGCGGTGCGGTGGGGTCCGAGGCCGCCGGGTAATGCCAGCATCCAGGCCCAGCGGGACTGCTCGTGCTGGCCTCTCTCAGGGTGATGCCGAGCGTCTGCATGATGTGCGCCACCAACTGCCGATACACCCCCATCACGTCGTAGCCCAAGGAGCCCTCCACATGGATCTCCGTGATGTTGCTCATGGGTGCTACCTGTCCTGCCCTGCCTCCTTTCGTCCTCCTGGCAGCTGTCAGCTGCGCCTGGGTGGCGCCCGGGAGGGCCCAAGGGCGCCCGCCGTGGCGCGAGGGGCGGTACTTCAGGCGGAGGATGGCGTTCTGAACGTCCTGCTGCATGAGCTGGGTCATCGCTGGCTTCCACGTGTCGGGCTCCGCGTCCGTGAGCAGCAGCACCTTGTCCGAACGGAGTGGGACCATCTGCGTGCTCAGCCCCCAGGCGTGCAGCGCAGCCCCGGCGCCCGTGAATTCGCAGATGAGCGTGGACTCGTCCGCGAACATGGCCGTCGAGCCGAAGAAGGCCCCTTGAGGCAGGGACGTCCGGCGGAGGAGGCGCCAAAGAAGCTCCAGCTCCAGCGGGGTCACTGTGGGCGGGAACGTCCACTCCATGCTGAGGCGCTTGCTCTCCGTGGTGGAAAGCAAGCTGCGCCGGGGAGCGCCGGCTCTGACATGTTGCAAGTTGGTGTCACCCAGCAGTCGAAGCACCTGGTGGAGTGCGTCCGCTGGGAAGTCCAGCAAGTAGCTCGGCGCCGCCTCCACGTGCAGCACGGGAGCTGCGGCTGGCAGCACCATCGGCGGGCGTCGCGGCATAGCCGCTGCCACTGTGAAGATGGCGATGCCGTGGAATTCGTGGCGCGGCCCATGCAGGCCGGGGAGGATCATGGCGTGGGGCGTTACGGAATACTCTACCCGCTTGGTGAGGGGAGCCCGACTCTCACCGAGAAGTGGATGCCACCACAGATCCTGGATGGCCTCTGGCGTGTGGCAGCCCCGGAAGAGCTCCAGAGGGGCCACGAGGCGGAGATATGGCGGGCCGCCTGGCGCTGCGGAGATCCTCGTGTACGCGGAGAGGAGGCGTCCCAATGCTGCGCTGTCCGTGGGGGCCCAAAGGACCGCTGGGCGGCCTCCCAGATCAGCGTATAGCCGCCCATCGCCCTTGGCTGCAAGTGCCGCGAGGTGGCGACTTTGGTCGAGTGCCAACGTGCCGCCATGTATTCCCTGGGCCTCTGCCGTGGGCAGCAGCAAATCTGACCACTGCGTGAGCACCACCTCTGTATCAGAAAGGGCCGAGGCGCGGATGAGCTCGAGCGCCTGCGTGCCAAGCTCCTGCCATAGTGGGAGGGCAGAGGGTCGCTGGCGTCGACGCTCCTTCGCGACCTCAGGGAGCAACTCGCTGCACTGGCGCAGCGCGGCGATGAGGTTCTGCAGGGCGCCGTCCGCTTGAGCGCGATCTGGAGGGGTCCACGACGGTGCTTGCGAGACTGAGCACAGCAGGCGGGCCGTGCGCAATCGAGCCTCGAGCCCGTGCAGGGTCGGTTCAGGGCCCTCCAGGGGCGCGAAGCCCAGCCGGCGCCAGGGGCACTGCGCCTGTGGCTTGTACGCCAGGGTCTCGAGCAAGGCCCGCAACGAAGCCCAATCGCGGACGCTGGTGGTGGCGATGGCGGATCCAGGACCGCCCTCGCTGACCCGGGCAGCGCTGATCAGCTGCACGTTCTGCTGGATTGTGGCCTCCACGAGGTTCTGCAAGAGGGTGGCCCCAAGCTCCGCCGGCGCCGCGGCCGCCGCGGGGGGAGGAGGGGGAGTGGCGGCCACTCCTGGGGCAGCCCTGCCCAGGGCGCCTGGGGCTGGTGCTGACGGCCCCGCCAGCGCGACGGCCCCGACCTCATCGATGTCGATGCTGCCGTCGACGTCCCCGTCGTCGTCGTCGATGCCGAGGCGCTCGGCGTCCTGGGTTACACCACTGCCGTCGCCAGCGGGGTCCCCAGCGGCTGGGGCACCTGCGGCGGCTGGGGCACCTGCGGCAGCTGGGGCAGCTGCGGCGGCTGGGGCTGCCGCGGAGTGCAGGTGCGTTGCGCAGACGTCCCCGCCTGGCAGGGCGGGGCCGTCCACACCATGGGCCGCGCAGACCCGGCAGCGACCAGCCATGGCTGTGTTCGCGAAGGAAGGAACCGGAAACACCTCGGTTTACCCCCGATCGCAAACACGGGAAGCTGCCACGGATGGTCAGAAGGAGGTAAACGTGTAAGGGGCAAACCTTGTAGGGTGCCGCATGCGGGCGGGCCACTGGAGTCCCCTTGAGCCAACCTTGAGCCTTGAGCCAAGGCACCAACACTGCCTAGAGAGGCCTCCAAGGAGGCTTCCCTAGGCGTCAGACGGTCCAATAATCCCCCCAGACGGCCCAAGGGGCCCCAAGAGGCCTCATCATGCCCCCGAGAGGCCCTAAAGAAGCTTTCAGGAAGCTCCCAGGAGGCCCCAAAAAGGCTCCCAAGAAGCCGTCTCCTCCTCATCCGCATGTTTTCCCTCTCCTCTCCTCCTCCTCCTCCTCCTCCTCCTCCTCCTCCTCCTCCTCCTCCTCCTCCTCCTCATCATCATCATCATCATCATCATCATCATCATCATCATCATCATCATCATCATCCTCCATTCCTTTTCCTGATATATAACTTCTCCCTGTCGCACCCCGAGGCCAGTTTTTAGGGCGGGCCGGGCGTTCCAGCTGAGATTTCATCAGCATCTGAACCTGAAGCTTTAAGCGTGGCAACAGTTTCACAGATGGAGGGCGGGCCGTTTTCAAAATGTGGCTCTCGCCTTAGCGCCGCGCACATTCAATCGAAGAGTTTCACGGATCGAGGGCAGGTGGTTTTCAAAATGTGGCTCTCGCATCATCGCCGCGCGCATTCGTGTTAAACATCTGCAAGAGCTTTACGGACTGAGGGCGCGTGATTTTCGCAATGTGGTTCTCGCCTTAGCGCCGCGCACATTCGTTTTGAAAGTTCACAAGAGCTTCACGGATTGAGGGCGGGTGGTTTTCAAAATGTGGCTCTCGCCTGAGCGCCGCGCACATGCGTCCAAAAAAATTGCAAGAGTTTCACGGAGTGAGGACGAGCCGTTTTCAATATGTGGCTCCCGCCTTAGCCCCGCGCACATTCGTTTTCAAATGTGTAAGAGCTTCACGGATTGAGGGCGGGTGGTTTTCAACATGTGGCTCTCGCCTTAGCGCTGCGCACATTCGTCTTCAACATTTGTAAGGTTTTCACGGATTCCCATGATCAGCGTACCAGAGACTCTTTTTTTCGGATGGGTTCAAGATTATGCGGGTGCAACAATGATGTTGGTTCGCGGTGCTGAAGTCCCAAAAACGGTGCTCTGGTACGATTCCAGATCGTCAAGACGCAGCAGTCAGGTTGACCCGTGGCGTGGAGATTCCCAGAACAATGTTTTGGCATGCTTCAAGGTCTTCAAACGATTGGGTTCCAACGAGGCCATTCCCTCAAAGGAAATGAACCGTCGTAGAGGCCTATGAAGAGGGAGCTCGGATGGAGGGATAATTCCAACATCGTTGATGACTCTTGGGTTTACACTGTCCTCCTCCTCCTCCTCCTCCTCCTCCTGGTCCTTCTCCTCTTCCCTACCTCGCGGACGAAGACGAGTTCGGGATCACGACGAGCCCCAATGCAGACGACTCGTCGGAATTGCGCTGTTCCTGCACTCAGCATCCTTTCTGCTACGCTGTTGCCCAGGCGCGTTGGCGGGGCTTGCCGCATGCAGTTGGATATAATAGACTCTCCCCCCCTCTTGAGGCCACGGATAGCAAGATCCCTGCGCGTACAGCGTTTTGCATATCACCACGCTTGTCCATCCATGCCGATAGATATGTTGCACATCATTTGGCGAGCTAGTATCGCCCCCGCCCTCAACCCTGTAAAAAACAAATGCGCACACCCGTTGATCACAAACAATCATATTTCAAGAAACTCCGTGCAACACGTACGTCAGAGTGAACACGCGCGCACACACGTAGAAGTCATACCAACACAAACATTAGTTATGCAATCATTCCAACAGACAAACCTTCCGAACTCATGGCTCTTTCAATAACAGCATTGCAGCAGTTCTGGCCTCGCGCACTTGCTGAAATCATAGGACTACTACCATGTGATGTTACAGTTCCAGGCCCCGCATTCTCATCTCATCACTTGGCGGCGCGCAGAGGGGGGCAGGGGGAGGGGGTAAGGCTTATTAGAAGGAGGCTGCTTCTTAGAGCCGCGGGCCTTACATCTATAGATAAGGCCCGCGCCTTCTAAGAAGCAGGGGTGCTTCTAAGAAGCCTTCCCCCCTCCCCCTACCCCCCTCTGCGCGCCGCCAAATCACGCATTGTATCCGCGTTGATCTAGCGGATGCATTGCGTGATGAGATGTGCGCGGCGCATGTGGCGCGCCCATGAGGCTCTTGGATCCCCAGGGTCAGACCTGGCGGACGCAGGCCCGCAAAAACGCTGCCGCAACAGCCTCGCGAGAGCCGAAGATGAGCAATTCGCGAATCGGCCTGGCAGGGTGGGGTTCTATCAACCTCCGGCGAGACAGAGGGTGGCCAGCTGCAGCAAGGTCCGGTTCGAGAAGGTCCGGGTCACACCATGGGAAGCGGCGCCCGCCCGCTTTTCGCATTGTGCTTCGGGTCTCCGCGCGGTGCCTCACCCGCGGAACGGATCATGTGCAACGAACCCTCCTGGCAATCTTCGCGCCTCGGCGGCGACGCGCCGAGGGGGCAAGGCAGAGGGGCGGACCTCCTCGGAAGGCTCAGGAGGCCTCCGGCGGAGAAGTCGTCTGCGCCCTCTCGGAGGCCCTGCCGCCTTCTGAGGAGGCCCACCCCCTCTCACTCCCCCCCCTCGGCGCGCTGCCGAGCGCAGCTTTCGGGTTGTAACGCAAGTCTCCGGCGGCCGTTCGGGACGATCCGGGCACCCCTGGACGCCTCTCGGCGAGGCGCAGCCGCTGGAACGCACCCCGAGGCTCGAACACGGCCGAGAACCGACGGAAGCGCCCGCAAACCTCGAACCTCGAACTTCGGCGCGCCGCCGAAGAGGAAGGGGGGGGGGCTGCCACGCGGTGCGTCCGAGGAAGTTCTCCGACCCGTCGTAGTGCACCTGGCAGGGGAGGTGGGCGCTCGAGGTGCGGGGCAGGGCGGTCGGAGGGCCTCAGGGGGGGGGAGGCCGAAGGCCGAGCGGCTGGGAGCACAGGCAGGTCCAAGACTCGAGGGAGAAGTGAAGGGGAGATGAGATTCAGATTCAGGTGGGATTCGGATTCGGATCCAGATCGATTCTTCTTCTTCTTCTTCTCCTTCTCTTTCGTCCTCATCGTTCTCCGGCGCAGATTCACAAGTCTGATTCTTCGACCCTGATTCAGGTTCAGTCAGATGGGATTCAGATTCAGATCGAGGGGAGATGGGATTGCGATTCAGATACAGAAGCCAGTGCAGGCCAGGTCAAGCCTGGGCACGAAGTACAATTCAGTTCACGCCTGGGGGAGCTTTACCCTTTGATTTTGTTGGGGGCACGAGAAAAAACGCGACAGGACTACTTCCTTGTCAGCTTTACTAGGAGGCCAACCCTTCGCCTTGCACGGGTGTCCCAAAGCCTGCCCCTTCTGGATGGCAAGAAATCCGCAACTCCCACAGCACAGATGGGGGGAGGTGGGCGAGGAGGAAGACACTGAGGAGGAACGTGCTGCTTGAGATGAGGAAGAGGAGAGGAGGCAGACCGATATATGAGGAGGAAAAGGGGAAAGAGCGGGAATGAGATGGACGAAGGGATGATGGACGAAGGGATGATTCAGCAGAGATGATTGGGACGAGGAGCTGGGATCACGATGAAGATGAAGATGGTAATGCTGATGGTGGTGATGGTGATGCTTATGATGAGGAGGATGATGATGCTGATGGGGATGATGGGGATGATGGTGGTGGTGATGATTATGACGGTGGTGTTGATGATGATAATGATGACGACGACGGCGACGATGACGATGGCGGTGATGGTGGTAATGGCGATGGTGGTGCAGATAACGATGAAGATGTAGGGGAAGGAGGAGGAAGGGAATGACGAGGAGGGGGGTCAGCTGAGGGGGAAGAGGAGCGGCACCAGCAGAATGAGCATCATGCTAAGCATGATGGATGCACAGCGGGAATGGGGAGGACGTAGGAAACAGGAGGGAGGCAAGATGAGAGGGGATGGAGGAGGGAGTCCAGATTACCGATCGAGAAGCAGGGAAGGCGAAAGGAGGAGTATTGATAAGAAGGGGCTGATGGAAGGGAATAGAAAAGGAAAGGAAGGGAGGAGGGAAGGAACGGAAAAGGACAGACGAGGGCGAAGGGTCGGGTCAGGAAGGAGTGCGGAAGAAGGAAAGAGGCGTGAGGATGAAGGATGGAGTCGGAGGGGAGAGGGGGGGAGGAGGAGGGGGGATGAGAAAGGAAAAAGGGAGGATGAATGAGGAGGATGGATGGTGGAGGGACAGCAGGAAACAAAAAGGGAGGAAGAGGAGGAGGAGGACGACGACGACGACGACGACGCGAGGGAGGGAGGAGGCGGACCGTCCCCAGGGACGCTCAGGGGCGAGCCCCAAGTTACTTCAACAGACGACCTCACCTCCGAACTTTCCTCGCCAGCCCAGGCGCAAGCATGCATTGTCTGGGACACCGGACCTTAAAGCGAAGGCGGCAAAATGGTGGCAACGGCCACACTCCACAACGCAATGCTCCATCGAACCGGGACGATCTGGACACACATAGATACATCGGGCCTCTCGCTGCGCACGAGTGCACGTGATCCAGGCTCCAAGGTAGGTTTTCATCGCGATCACTGGCCATGCCGAGGAGGCAAGAATGACGGGCTTTGGCCCCTCAAACTTTCGAAAATGAATGCCGAAGTGCTTCGGATGCCTGAAAAACAGCAGCTGCTTGAAGTCGTGAGCGAACGTAGCCCTCGCAATCATGGAATAAGGCATAGCTTGCCATTTCGCTCTTTGCCTCGCCGAAGATGCAGCGCCCACGGCTCTCTCCCCCTCTGATGAGCATCGGCAAAAACCATGCGTGAGCGGGTCGTTTCCGAAGAAGGCTATCGCAACATCAGAAGTTGCGCGCCCGCCCGCGCCAAATTGCAAAAAGCAGCGCGCCAACCGGCACCCAGCCTGGCGTCAATAGAGGAGCCCTCTGCCGCATGCCCGAAAAACTTGGCGAAAAAAGCGGCAGACCATACTGGAAGAGCCATCGCAGGGGCACCCCATAGCGCGGCAGCGCCAAGCTGAATGCGCCCGCGCGCCGCAAGACGTTCGCACCACGTTGAACGAGTGACTAAGGTGGGGCGCGCCCTCGCCGCAGCGGCCACCACAAACATCGATGATAATCGCGGGCCATTCCACTGGCAATAGCCAGAGCAGTCGCCCATTCGAAGCATGCCATTCGGAGCGCGAAGAAGCCTCGCAAGTAGGCGTCGTCGGGCGTGTGAGACTTCCCAATCACGAGGAACCAGCTGATCGATGTAGCTGAGAACAGGAGGGGCCCGCTCCCTGCAAAGGTACCCAAGGCAGCAACGGGGGCACCTTGCTTGCTGCACTCGATCGACTGAGCCGAGTGCTTGGTTAGCGGCCCCATCCATTGGTCATTCGCTGAGGCACCGGGACCTACTTGGAAGCCCAGATGCGCGCAGGGCCTGGCAACCACAAAAGACGACCAGCTGGAACCAGCTTACCGCGCCGATAGATCATCAGCAGTTCAGTTTCCGGGAGGCCCGCGGAGCGGGATGGCCATGCATTTCCCGTGCTCGAGGCAAAGGTTAGCGAGCCGCCCCGCGGGCTGAAATACTTGGCAAAGCCTCACGTAGCCACGGTTGCGCAACATCGATGCTCCAAGACCATCGGCGCACGAGCGAGAGACTCCAAGAATAGGTTTCGAGAGAGAGAGAGAGAGAGAGAGAGAGAGAAAGAGAGAGAGAGAGAGAGAGAGAGAGAGAGAGAGAGGCGAACTCCCAGGTCGAGGATGGACGCGTTAGCAGCGACGACATAGATCGAACTGCTGGGTGGGCAACATTGGACGGCTCTGAAGGCGTAAGTTACACGAGCTCCACAGACGCACCCCCGAATAAGCACTGGGAACAGAGGCGCGCGGTGCGGATGGCAGCGAGCAGCGGTTTAGGCGATGTCAGATGACCGGGACAAGTAAATAGCCGTTCTCGAATTTTTTGGCTCACTGATGGGGAGGCCCGAGCAACGACGACGAGTCGCTCGGGATGGGCTGCGCCAAAACACTGGCTGACCTCGCATGCGCGTCGAAGTCCACCACATTGTTCAGAAAGTTACGTCGTTTGATGAAGCCGTTCTGTGACTTCGCACCTATTTGCTGGATCACGGGGCGCGGATGCCGGCCGGGGGGCCCGCGCGTGACCTTGTTGCCGCGCATCAGAAGCAGCGCGTCGGACTCCTCCAGAGTCTGCTTCGCCAGCGGGGCCCTTCAGTCAGAGCCTCCTGGGGGGGGGATGCCGCCGGCATCGCGGAGAAATCTAAACCCGCGAGGTTCCCCGCGGCGATCCACCGCAGCGCCGCCAGCAATAGCGCAGGGCCCCCCGCCCACTTTCCACGGCGCATGGCGCGGCTCGTCGGGGCCTGGAGCAGGCCGAGTCGAGGCCCTCCAAGAAACGCCGAAATTCCTGCAACGCGGGGGCTGGACATCAGCGAAGTCAACCTCGCTCGAGAGCCCCCGATGATACTGGGCGCCACTGGGGGGGCCCAGATGGGTCTCCGAGAAGATGGGGCCCTGGTATCGGGCGAGCCCGTCCGCCTGCCCCTTCCCGGGGCTTTTCCCCACCTCCGCGTTCGCCTTCGCCCCCAGCCCCCCCCCCCCCCTCCGGCCACTCTGAGAGATGCGCCCACCGAAGCAAGGGGTTCCAAAGCGGGGCAGATCTGGCCACGGACCGCCCCTGGCCGAGCCGCCGAGCACAATCGCCAGGGGCCTGTTCTGCATCGGCAGCTGCCTCGAGCTCTCGCCTGCGCCGCGCAGGCCCCTGTTTCCGCGGGCGGCCACGCATGTCGAAAAGCCGATGGATCCACGGGCCGCGCCGCCGAATCCGAGGCCTCGCCCACTCTCTGGAACCACGGGCGTTGATTCCAGCGGACGCGAGCGAGTGAAACGTTTCATCGCCGCGCGCATCCAGCGATGGACCTCGGCAGCATTGCACGCGAGGTGAACGAGGTCGACGAGGACTGCGCGAGGGAATCCCGAACCGCCGCGAGCGCCGCCCATCGTGCTCCAGCGGCCGCGGCGAGCTCTCGAGATTTCTAGGAGGGTCATGTGCAAGCTCATGAATCCCAACCACTGCTTCTCACTCTGTCACTACTTTCTCACTTTCTCAGAACTGGTCTGCGCGCGCCCATCTAGGGGGAGGTCGAGGGCGTTGGGGCCATGAAGAGGAACGGGGGGCCCAGGGCACCGCTGGCGGCGAGTGATCCGAGATCCCACTCTTGAAGAACCTTTGAGGCTCAGCCCATGCCGGAGAAGACCAGGAAGTTTGGCATGAGAGCCATGGCGGAGAGGCGGTGAAGCATGTCAGTTCTGCCAGCCGATTGTGCTCACTCGTGCACGTGCGTCGGCGCACCCGGCGCGAGTTCCAGGGGGGCGCGGAAGATGGCCCTCTGGCAGCTGCCCCCACGGCGCCCAGCGCGCGAGGAGGTAGCTCGGGAAGACGCGCGCGCCGCCGACGACGCCCGGGATCCAGCCTGGCGGCCGCGTCGCGGCGCGCAGGGGGCCCTTCGCGAACGCAGTGGCACGCGCGCGAATTTCAGCAGCTATCTCGAAGTCGCCCATGAGGATGGGGGGAGAGACAAAGGGCAGAACGAAGTGGGCGAACTTGTTCGCTTGCCATGTGTTGAACGCGACGCAGATCCTCTCGACCCAAGTCGTGATGGTGAGCGCTCGAGTGGAATCGTGTATACCCACTAGTCCTGCATGGCGTTGTGAATATCATCACTCGAGCTGAAACCAAAACTTGCTTTGCAATGTGTAAGGACTCCAGCGCAGGAGCCAGCGTCAACCCCCCCATCAGCAAGAGGAACTCCTGCATGGGATTGAACAGGACATGGCTGCGCGCTGGAGGGCCTCGGCGACTACAGTTTCATCGACATCGCACTCTTGCGCACCCGCGATAGAGTCAGCGAGCGCCAGCTTCCTCAGCAAGCCAAACCTCGTTCATCGTGGAGGGAACGAAATGCAAGAGCGCACTCGGATTCGAACCGCGAACCGCACATAGCTTTGACCAAGGAAACGCATCAAGAGCTGACCCAGACACCGAGAAGGCCTCCTTCGCGATGTCGTTCGCCCTCTACCTGCTGATGCCCAGGCCACCGAGGGCCGCCTGATTCCATTGTGCCCGTGGAGTGCGGGTCATAGGTGAAGGTGTGATCCTAGCCAACAGCTCCCACTTGGCTAGGAACTGGCCACCTTCGCGGTCGATGAACGTGATGAGTCCAAACTCGCCTAGCAGTGCCTTGTGCAACCTCTTGCACGCCATCTCCGTCGCAATGTCTTTCCGATTCTTGTCCACCGGTACAAGCATGGAGACCGGTTAAATAGCCATCAACGAAGAGAACGAACGCCACCTGCCAGCTCCGAGACGCAACGCCGACTGCGTCTGACGGCGCCGTGCGATTTGAGCAACTTGCATTGGGACCTGGAAGACCAACATGCTTTGTCTTGACATCCAGCGCGGTCCCAATCACTCGATATGATCGGCTCTTCCCTGGGCTTCGCTTTCGCGAGGTCCAACTCCTTCTCCAACTTCGGGAGTCTGCTCTGCAAGGGCTCGCACTTCTCCGCGGCGCTGTTGACCTTCGTGCCATGCATGCCCACCTCCTGGTGCAAGAATCGAACCTGCGCGCTGAACTTCTGCTCATAGGTAGTGAGGAGCGGACCCGTCCCTCTGGCAAGGGCAGCCGGTAACTCTTTCCACAAGGCGCCCATCGCTGCCGAACTCCTGAACGGTCAAATCTGTGATGTCATGAGGCTCCTTGCCGAACGCGCTTGCCGCCCTCCGATCGCACTCATCACCTGCTTGGGCTCTCCATGGGGGTTCAGCGGGTTCAGCTGGTGGACGTGGCCAGGAAACGGGGCGCGCTGGAGGTGTGGGCGGGACGGCAGCCTGTGAGGATACTGTAGAGCTGCGCCAATTGGAATCGGCTCTCCTCGTTGGGGAATGTGATCGACGAGTCCACCTTTCTCCCCTCGAGCGTTGGGAGGGTCAACTGCCATTTCAGCATCAGCAGCAGTATCAGCACGAAGACGACGGTCCCGATCGCGGCGAGACCTGGCCGACGGCGGAAACGATCTGGGAAGGGTACTCGAGCACGATCCCGCCGACGGCTGACAGGAGAGCCTGGCGGGCCTGCGCTCTCTGACAGGGTCGCGATCCCTGTCCTTCTCATTCTCCTTGCGGGATTTGTTATTATCCTCCTGCATGCTCCCTCCGCCTCGGTGCACCCAGCTTTGCATCTGCTTCCATGTTTGCACTGGGCGATGCAAGAAAGGGAAAGCCTCCGTTTACCCACGCCACTCAGTGCACGCCGCGCCGATCAGTGACCGCCAAAGGGCTCTGAATCGACGTGTCGAAAATATATTGGGACTTGTCTCGGGCTAGAGGCATCCACGCGATCCCCTGGGGAATCTGGCACCTTGAGCCAAAATGGCTACGGACGGAGGAGGGATGAGGACGAGGAGGAGCAGGAGGATGAGTACGGGGAGGATGGAGGAGGGCGATAACGGGAGCAGATGAGGAGAAGGTGGGGGAGACACGGGGGAGGACTATGAGAAGGAATAGTATAAGTATAATTCATACGGGCGAACGAAGTCAGCAGTCGTGGTAGGAGGCGAGTAGGAGGACACAATATAACAAAGAACAGGGGCAGGAGCATGCGCAGGACCAGAATATTTCATAATATTTCCGACTAGCTCACAATGGGAATCTGGAATCTGTGCATGAGAAGGCGCCATCAGAGAAGCTAGACACGCCACGCCAGATGGGCCCGGATGATAAGGGTGGCAGGGCTGGCTGGGCGGTCCGATTCTCCGAATACTGGTGAGTTATGAGGGGGAGGATGGGCAACCGAGACTGACTCAGCTGGGCCCTCCCCGACAAGCGGGGACCCATGATCACATAACCATTCTGGCAACTGCATCCCGCTCTTCGGCGGTGGACCCCGAGACGACCTTGACAATACACCTCTGGGGGGAGGATGGGCAGGTGATGAAGCAGGAGGAACAGCACAACGGAGATGACGACAACCGTGACGACAACGACATCGACGATGTGCACGCAGCGAGGGCGCGGGGAACGGACGAGGAGCGAGGGAAAAGACGGGACGGCCTCCTGCCTGTGCAGGTGGCCAGAGACGATCAGATCGATGCCGTGGTCTGTCGACATCCTGGATGGGAGAAGACGGAGGAGGGACGAAGAGGCGAGAGGAGGATGCGAAGGAGGAGGAGGAGAGAATAAGAGGAGGAGGAGGAGGAGGAGGAGGAGGAGGAGGAAGAGGAGGAGGAGAAATAGGAAGATGAGTGACAAGGGTATGGAAAGGAGGCGACCTGCTTATCCTCCCACTGTATTTCGGATTCAGAACCCCTCGCCTCGTTACACTGCCCTTCTCCTCGATGGGAGCGGCGCAAGGATGCTCCTGAAGCCTCCATGGGGCCTTCAAGATCCTGCATGGGGACTGGGTGAAATCCGCCGATCAACTCCAGTAGCCTTCGCTGGGGCTCTACCAGCTACTGGCTACTTCCAAGGGTACCAAAAAACAGGGAGCTTCTGAGAGCCTCCATGTGCCTCCAAGGCCAGGGACTTGAGTATGAAAACGAATAGAATGATGAGGCAGAGCGGACAAAAAAGACCTGAGCAAACCCAGCACACATCAATGATTCGGCAACGCGCGATCCCGCCCAAAGTAAACACACGCACAAGACCTGCATGTGACTGCGGCGCATGCCTGTTGGAGCGACCGAGGTCGGGTCTCACGGACCTGCCGCAGGTTCCAGACCCACAGGGACCGGGAGGCAATCCGATGACCGCGCCACAAGGTCGGCCACCGGGGAGCTCTGGGGAATTCAACGGCAACGTCCATGACACGCCGCCGCGGGGAACCCGTGAGACTGCTACCGTTGAACCTGCGCCAGACATTCGGACAACCGCGATGGAGCAGCACGCTGACGGGCTCTCCACGGCAGCGCGTCGTTGATGCACCGGCTCTCCCTCCCGAAGTTTGACTCCGCGGGATCCGGCGGCCATGCCGCAGAACGTGCGCGCGAGATAACTGGAACGCAAAAGAGCGCGGCCCTGGCCCCTTATGCTGCGCGCCGTGGGAAGAAAGGCAATCCTCGGTGGTCCAAGGTCGCGCATCGCGCCCCGTGATGCGCGACGCGCGGCAATCTTCGCGCCCTCGCGAGGCCGCCCTGGAGAAGGGCAGCTGTCCAGCTCAGGCCGCGGCGCGAGAAGTGCGATTGGCTTCGCGCCTTTGGGGGGGACCTGAACAAACGGGGCTGCAGAGCAGACGCGCGGAGGCGTGCTGAGCTCCCTGCAGGGCACGATCCGTGCGAGAAGCGTGCCGACATGGGCCCGGGACCGCAAGCGCACGCCCAACTTGGGCCGTAAAACAAGATTTGCTCATACGCACTTCATACCCCTACTCTTATGGTACCCCCTCCGTTTCTGGTACCCCCACCCCTTTTGGTATACAGATCGTGCCCCGCAGAGATTTCCACCCACTGCGCGGGAATCCCTACGAGACACGATCTGTGTGAGGGGGGGTCCGACTTCGGCGGGGGGGGGGAACGCCATGCGACCCCCCTCCCCAAGTACGTGGGTGGAGATCCCCATTTTCAGAAGAGGAGGAGGAGGAGGACGAGGAGGAGGAGAACGAGGAGGAGGAGGAGGAGGAGGAGGACGAGGAGGAGAACGAGGAGAAAGAGGAGGAGGAGGAGGAGGAGGAGGAGGAGGAGGTCCGACCCTGCCAATAGCGTCCTGCATCCAATTATACTCGAGCGGGCGCTCGGGTTCCTGCTCTCGCCGAGCTCTAGCGTCTACCGCCTAGGATCCCAGGGCCTGTGCCTTAGCCAAGGTGAGTCCGAGGGAGGCGAGCACATGGAAAAGGACTGGCCTGCTGAGGCCCGTTGGCGGAGTGCCCTCGGAGCCCGATCTCTTCTAGGCGGCCGGGGCCCGTCGAAGTGCACCGCCCACAACGCCTTCACCCTGTTAGAAATTTGGGCGAGGACACCTTTCCCTTTCTTGGGGTGGCGCCTCGCCCACATTGCACTACGCTTAACTAGCGCGCTGGCTATCGGGGCAGGCGGGCACGGATCGGCCAAGTCCAGGCCCTTTGTCTCGGACGCATCCCCCGAGCAGCGCACACGGTACACGAGCGTACTCACCGCGGGGTCGGCAGTCCTCCTGGCCTCGTCGGCAAGGTCGACGGGTGCCGCGAGGATGAGGTGGTCGTTCGCTCGCCGCTGCGGCAGGGCTGCCTCTGGCGTCTGCGCCTGCGATGGCGCCGTGGCGGCGGGGCCCGCCGAGGCAGGGCGGCGGCGCGCCCCCCTGCCTGGGGCCCCGGAGGGGACCCTGGCTCCACCCTCCACGGCGGGCGGCTGCAGGGGCGAAGGCGGGACCACCTCGGCCTGCGAGCCACTGGCCGCGGCCTCCTCTTCTCAGGAGCTGGTCCAGTTGCTGATCCAGCTCGAGGCTCGGTGGGGCCGCCAGTGGGCCGCTAGGCCGGTCGAGGTCGTCCTCCTCGTCGCCGTAGACGTCGTCGAAGTATGGTGGGAGCTCGCCCATGTCGATGACTCTGAGCGCCTCCCCCCCCGTGCTGTCCCTGATCTTGTTGTCACTGAGCACCGCCCCTTGCATCCCAACAACATGCCCAGCAAGCCTGGCGCTGTAGCGACACCCTTCTAAAGACCAGGATGTCGTTTGGGCTGGCTCGGGCCAGCTTTGCACCGGCCTTGGCCGGCTGTTCTGCCTTGCGGTTGCCGTCCAGCTGCGTCTGAGCAATGTGCCCGTCTGCCGCTGCACTCTGGCCAAGGTGCGCCTCAACCTGAAGGACTTGGGCTCCTCCAAGCTTGTCGCCGAGCCCAGTTCATAATTGTGCTCGCTGTTCACTGGGTCCAGCTGCCCTGAGCGGAGCCGTGGCACAGCGCGCCGCGGCTAGGACATCGACGCGCAGCTTGTCGTCGCCACCTGCGATCTTGTCCGTTTGCGTTTTGACCGCGTGGTGGTCGCCATCTCGCGGTAGCTGTTCGGGCGCTTGATCGACCGGGGGCGCCCCCCCATGTCGCTAAAAGGAAGCGGCGGGTGGGGTCGTGGACGATCGCCGCCCATCTAGCGGCACGCACGGACGGGAACGCCTGGCCCATGCCTGAGCCGCTCACGAATACGTAGGAACCAGGCTCGAGGCACGGGCCGACCTGGTGTCATGTATAGATGTATGTGCATAGAGCAAAAAAAGTTGTACACATAGTTATGCCCATGCATCTAGATATATAAAGATCGGAGATATATATATATATATATATATATATATATATATATATATAAAAAACTCTAGTGTGGACCCGTGGGTTAAATCCCCGAAGTTGGGCGGATCGAAACATGGTGGCGCGCGCTGGGTGGTTCCACGCGGCCAGCTACTGCCGTAGATCCCATTGAATATTGTTCTAGTGCTGTTCCCCCACCGAAGGCGCCCAATGCATCGAAACGGGGGCCGAAGTGTTCGAGCTTCGCAAGAAGCAGAAATTCAGGAGTCCAGGCCTGAGCAACGTTGGAAGATTCGCGCCGGGATCGCGGCGGTCGCGGGAGCGGGTTCGGGCAAACGCGGCGCCGTCTCGGGCCGCGTCGGAGGCGTCGGAACGGCGTCGCGGCAAAGTAGGGAGCGCAGCGGGGCAGCCCCAGGGCCACCAGAGCGTCAAAACATGTTTTTGTTTGCGCCTGCGAGGGGCCTCTCGCCTCTCGTCCGCCTCCCTCTGTTGGAAGCAATTTTGAAGCTTCTTGGGAGCCGTTTGGGAGCTCTATGGGAGCTGTTTTGGGCTCCTCGTGGGCTTCTCGGAGCCCTCTTGGGCCGACAGGGCGCCTCGCGGGCCGTCTTGGGGCCATCTTGGGCCATCTTGGGCGCCTATCGGGCTGTCTTGGGGCCATCGTGGGCTGTCCTGAGCCCCTTTTGGGCCTCTCGTGGGGTTCTCTTGGGTCGTCCTGGGCGCCTCTTGGGCCGTCCTGGGCCCGTCTGGAGCCATCTTTAGGCCCTCTTGGGGGCCGTCTTGGGCGATCTTGGAAGCCTCTGGGGCCGTTGTGGACGCTTCGAAAAGCAATAAGCCGAATCTGCTGAAAATGTCAATTTTCCGAAAAGGGAATGCTACGACTTTAGCTTGAAGGAACCCTTTCGGGTGACCCCTTGGAGCCGCCTGGAACCGTCCAGGGGCGTCTTTGGGGCTCATGGGGCCGTCTGGAAAGCATCTTGGGCCGCCTGAGGTCGTCTCGGGGCCTCCATAGGCCGTCTCGGGGCTGTTCTGGGCCCCTCTTGGGCCTCTCGTGGGGTCCTCTTGGGTCGTCTTGGGCGCCTCTTGAGCCGTCCTGGGCCCGTCTGGAGCCATCTTTGGGCCCTCTTGGGGGCCGTCTTGGGCGATCTTGGAAGCCTCTGTGGCCGTTTTGGACGCTTCGAAAAGCAATAAGCTGAATCTGCTGAAAATGTCCATTTTCCGCAGGGACTGTGACGATTTTACCTAACAGCGAAGACTGATAGGCTTCTAGTGGGCTCAAGAAAGCATCTTGACTCCCCATGGGGGTCTGGGCGGATGCCGGGGAGAATCCGGGACTCCCCGGGACTCCCCAGGGGGGTCTGGGCGGGTGCCAGGGAGGATCCAGGGACTCCCCAGAACACCATTCCCAGGCCACATTTTGAATGCCCGGAGCCAACTGTAGGCCACTTCGTGTTCTTCGTGTTCCCAGAACACCATTCCCAGGACACATTTTGAATGCCCGGAGCCAACTGTAGGCCACTTCGTGTTCTTCGTGTTCCCAGAATACCATTTCCAGGACACATTTTGAATGCCCGGAGCCAACTGTAGGCCACTTCGTGTTCTTCGTCTTCACAGAACACCATTCCCAGGTCACATTTTGAATGCCCGGAGCCAGCTGTAGGCCACTTCGTAATCTTCGTGTTCCCAGAAAACCATTCCCAGGCCACATTTGAATGCCCGGAGCCAGCTGTAGTCCACTTCGTGTTCTTCGTCTTCCCAGAACACCAGAGGCTGAGGCCGAGGCAGGCTGAGGCTGAGGCTGAGGCAAGCTGAGGCAGGCTGAGGCTGAGGCTGAAGCTGAGGCAGGCTGAGGCTGAGGCTGAGGTTGTGGCTGAGGCTGAGGCAAGCTGCGGCTGAGGCAGGCTGAGGC